GGCGGTATTTGCTGAACAACGCACATCGCCGACGTATTTGGCTCACCGTTACTCCTGAAAAAGGTTTCGTTCAGGCAGATTCTAAGCAAAAACTTCAGCATCTTATTCTCACCAGCTCCCCAGTTTTACACCATCAAGCGAGCACTAACAGTCACTGTAGAGCCCCGATACTACCAAGCATTCTGTTTTAAAATATTCTGCCCCCTCAGGGCTTTCTTGATTGTCAAGTCGTTTTTTGGCACATTTCATCGAGCATACTGTGCTGTCCCTTGCACTGTTACAGTTCTGTCCTGTACAGCTTATGCACGGAAAGATAGCCAGGGCTTTTCTCCGCCAAAGCCAGCTTTTATATTTGGCCTTCGGCAGTAGCGGACTGCCTCGTATCCGCATGTCGTTGGCATTAATTGCCCTCCTTCCACTTTCATATCGTTGTTTTAGTCCTCGACTCGGCAAATCTTTGCCATGCAGTAGCGCCATTTGAAGCCCGGCACGCTGGCAGTGGTCTAGTCGACGCTTGGGCATTGCTGGAAGTGTTGTCGTCTACGTTTTACACTGAGACGAGCCCTCCTCTCCCCCGCCCCCCGCCCACCTCTTCCTCGACAGCCGTTTCGTAAAAGTCTTGTACGTGGTGGGCAGGGATGAGAACATGTGCTTAGACCGCTTCCCAGGAAGTGCTAGAAGTCGTAACGATTGCATGCAGATATCTCGTGACAAGAAGATCTCAAATTGCTGCAATGGTTATGTGACTGCCCGTCACCAGCATCCTAGGTTTTAGGGCCGATGTCGAGGAAATTTTGGTGAGAAGTTATTTGTTTTCATCGCTCTCTGCTGTGATGCACAGTTGGCCTGCGTTAAAAAAAAAAAAAATAGAAAAGTGCTACGCCCTTCATGCACTGTTAATTGCACAGGAAGTAACAGCTCTCGTCATGAGCAGTTCTCTGATACGATATTCTGGACAATAAAACTGGTGTTTCGTCAGGAGCAAGGAGAAGGGCCAGAAAGGGCGATTATTGAGTATGAGCATACAGTGAACAACATACCGGAAAGCATATCGGTGGCAACACTTCTTCGACAGTTTATTAAGCCAAAAAAGGTAGCACTTTTTTTTTGATTCGTTTTAATTTTTATGCGTTTTGCACACCGATGCAGCAGCTAAAGCAAACAAGCAGTGATGCTTTGGCACAGTAGTCCGCATGTGGTTGTGCGGATAATCGGGCGCTGCTGTGCTTGGGTATGATTAACTTCACTTTAGTAACATCGCGCACCCCCATGTCGGTTCTCCTCTTAGTTTTAATGATTTAAACGGGGAACATCCTTCTAAAATTTCAGCTCCTTAGCTTTTGTAGTTCTTGAGCTAGAAATTTTTGGCGGCAAAACTTTCACGTGCTCGTATATGAGATTTATGCATAAGTTAAGGTTAAATTTGTATCTGCAGGATCACTTAAGTAGAGAATATTGTTCTAAATCTTCAGTCCTCTAGCTTCCGTGATTCCTGAGTTATCAGTTTTGGCGCCAAAACTTTCGCGTATCCATCTGTGGGATCTGTACGTAAAAGTCGAATGTCGGGGTCGAACATAAGCGACTAACATTCCCCTAAAATTTCAGCTTTCTGGCTTTTGTGGCTCTCGAGTTGAAAAGTGGGACAAAAAATACATACATACACACACATACATATACACATGCACACACATATACATATATATACAGAGTTAAGAACGCTTTTCGTGCAGTTGCTACACTGTACAAAACGCGTGTAAATTGCTTTTTTTAAGTTAAACCTGAAAATTGGGCAGAATCAAAGGTTGCAAAGAGCAAAAATGACTTTGCAAAACATGTAAGAAGCATATAGTTTTGCATGACACTTAGAACAAATAAATCAGTAGGGAGAAAAAAGCGCAAAGGTTTGTCCCTCAATCTAATTTTTCTGGATGTTTTGTGCAGTGTTCAAGTGGCGTATTTGGTCTTCGGAGGGAACAACAAATCGTGGGTTCTGCAGAGCCGACGTTTCTGTTTCGTGACAGTGACTTGAGCGCAGTGCCTATAGTTTGAAGTTCCTTTTTGGCAAATTCACATACGATTCTTTTGATTCTTTTCCATAGCTGATCTGTGGCAGTGTGTTACGGTCACAAAACACCTATTATTTGCTTCTTAATTATTCTGTGGACAGAGACTTTATTGATAGCATGCTTGCTTTCGTTAATAATGCTTTTACCGGGGCTTTGAGGCGAGACTTACTTGTGTATTTGGGAATTGTGAGCAGTGAAAAGTTGTATTTTGCAGGTTGGACCAGTTGTTAGTGAATCAGATCTCGATGCTGAAAAATTGTTACCGTTCCAGAAAGCGGGTATTGAGCAGCTTATGGTCTATATGCCAGTTCCTTTGGACGGAAAGCAACGGTTTGTTTCTTTTTCTGGCTGTAGAAGAAAGTTTGCTTGAAATGTAATATTTGCAGAATTTGCTTCCTACTATCTAGATCGATGCAAATTTTTGAACTGTGGGAGTTAGCTGTGAATGTTTCGAATTGGCCGGACTCATTTCGCTGCTCGAGAATAATGCAGAATTACAAATGAATGATTTATTAAACCGTTTTGGTTTTGTTTCATTTGTAAGAAGTTTCGAATTTTTCACGCGGGCAAAACGCGATTTTCCGATGCATTTG